TTTCCTTTTGGCCACACTAAAAAGGGATGCTCCCTTTACCAAGGAAAATCAATCTATGCCCTCAGCTAGGAAGGTAAGACTGGATTGTCTACCAGGTGAAATAGAGAAAGCCTTGAGACCCTCCTTAGGCCATCTTAAACTGTTCTGCCAGGACCAGCTTAACTGTTCTTAACTGTTCCTTAACCAAGTAAGTAATTATTGCCCTTAATGTCTCTTGACCAGTGGAGGTGGTTAACTTTGGTTGATATTCACCCAGTGCTACTTCTCTTCTTTACTTCCCTTCAAAACCCAAAACTAATGTCAGCCACATCTTTCAGTAAACTCTCCCCAATCTGAGACTCTCTGTGTACCTACTGTAGCCAGAAACAGCCAGAACTGTCTTTCCAAATTAAAGCTTGAGATTTATATAAATGGCACTAGCCACTGCCCTCTGTGGAACTTTAAGTGGTAGCGTACATGCTATCTGAAAAAAAACCCAACATCTATCTCTGCAGCTGGGTCTTGCCGCTGGAAGTTGGTAGCTGGGACCCAGCAGATCTTCACAGACAGAAGCAGCTTTCTCTTGTGTCTTCAAAGGAAAATCCCATGCAGAATCAAGCCAGCAGCCACAGCAGCAGTTCTGCCTGCTGTATGCTTCCTACTCAATCATAGCCAGGTATGATTTTATATGATAGAAGTGTCTATTTATCTTTTAAGCCCCTTGTTACAGGAGAGGAAGCCAGTATGGTTGTCTTCAGACACCCTTAAAAAGTGAACCTGAATCCAAATCAAAAAGAAGAGATAATCCAAGAATCTCATTATAGAGTTGGAATTTAACAATAATGCTAACACTTACTAACCATTTGTTATATACCTGACACTGTTCTAGTGCTTCACACATTTTAATTTTATTTAATACAAAACTCCATGAGGTAGAAACTACCATTATCACTCTTTGAAAATGAGGAAACTGAAGGTCAACAAGGTTATGTAACTGTCTAATGTCTCTGGCACTACGTTTCAAACTCAAATGCTTAATGGCTACATTATACTACCTGTCCCCTAGTGTACATGAATAGGGCAAAGGGCTGAAAGGGATATCCCTGTCCTCTCAGCCAGTACGAGTGAAATGCGGAAAGAGAAAGGGAGCTGAAATCATGGCAGTAAGTACGAATTCTAAGTGAAGGTTGTCCTGACTAGCACTGAATGATGACAGAGAGCAATTTTGAAGAACATGATGCTAAAACTAGGTAATATATAGCCATAGATCCATACCTTCCAGGACATCCAGCAAATAGTGAAAATGCAGGCTCCCCAGGCACCTTAAAAAGGTCCCAAAAGAGACAAAGATTCCACCTAAGTCTTCTATCTCCTTGGAGAGACACCAGGGAATTTTAGTGGTGCTGTAGCCCCACACCTTCCTAATCAAATGTACTTGGGAAGAAGAGGCAAATGGTCCAGGTCAAGACACCCAATCAACACAGAAAAAAATGTTCTGAAGCTATATACTGAGGACTTACAGCATGCTGATCCTTGTGCAAAGCTAAGGGGAAGCATGGGTGGGCAGGAAAATACTTATCCTCAGATGTGTCAGCTGCAAACATTTTACTAAAAGATGCCCCCATTCAAGATAACAGATAACTGAAAAATATTTAACTGCCCTCTCATTCCAGTAAAATAGCTTGCCAGGAGCATTTTTTCAGATTGCATCCATTTTTATGACTAAGTGGGGCACTTGGCTTCTACGTGATTCCCAAGACTAAGCATAGCTGATTGTTCCTTCCTGCAAAAGCAGCCCTTTAATGCAGTCACCACCACATCCTTACAACTGTATGGCATCCCTCCCTCCACCTTCATCCAACACCAACAGATCACAAAGGTCCAAGGAGATCTGACAACAGATTCACATGAACACTTTGAGTGACGGTCCACTCTCCTCTAGATAAGTGACATCCATTTCTGGACAGTCTGCCTTTTACTTGCTCCAGGTAAATTCAGTAACACTTCTGAACTTAGGAAAGAAAACATGACTTCATTCTTTACAGTAAACATAACTTCAGGTTACCTCCTCAGTTTCTTTCATATGTATTGCTTCCATGTCTGAGATTGCTATTAAGCTACGGAATCTTAGCTCCAAACCCAACCCTCTACACTCAAATTTGCACTGCTGGCGCTGGAACTCTGCAGACTCTATTTCACCTCTGCCAGCCGAGTTTCTTAGATATGGGCCCCAAGAAGTGCTAGAGGGAGACTAGAGGTGAGAGAGGAGACTTGCCTTCTGTTTGCTCACTGTTCTGTGGGAGGAGGAGCTTAGCTCCTCCTCTCAAGATCCTTAAGGTAATTAGTTCCTTTATTATACAAGGTAATATTCATAGGTTCTAGGAATAAGGATATGGTCATATTTTGGGGGAGTCACCATTTGGCATCATTCAGCACAGTTACTTCATCTCAGCAGCAGTAGTTGGCTTCAGAAATGGTTGATTCCAATTTCCATTTTTTCCATGATCCAAAACCAATCATCTTTTGTCATCTCAGAGATGAGAGGACCATATTCACAAGATTTCCACTCTGAACTTCTCAATTCTAGTAACCTCAACCGTCCCCTTTGTTCCTGAGCCCTGGGGGGCACAGCTGCTTCCTTCAGGTACTATCTCTGTATTGCCTCAATGTTTCCCTTTTTCTCCAATACCTGCTTATTTATATCCTTACATTAAATTACCTGTTAAAATGACTGTTGTCTATTTTCCTCACCAGGCTCCACCTGATACAGTATGTGAGTTAATTTCTTCTGTCCTGTCATTTGTCTAAACACACAAAAAAGAAACCAAAGTTTGTTGCCTAGTGGAGCTTCAATAATAGTAGACTGTTTAAGTTTTCAAAAAATACATTCTCCCTTTTGTTGACAATGGCAGAAAACACAGGTCATAAATCTACTTTTCATTTATCCTTTTCCTATTGTCTCCTGTTAATTATCAATGTTTTGAGGTCAAATTTTTAATGCTGAAAAGTTTATTGGTCAAAATTATTTGTTTTACATAAAGGAGAAGTAATTGAATCTTGAGCAAGAAAACAGAGCTGTGAAAACTTTGAAAGTTCCTGCGTGAGTTTCCTCTGGCTGTATATTTCTTTGTCCACATTATGACAAGCTTGGTGGTTTAAAACAATAAAACTGTACTCTCTCACAGATCTGGAGGCCAGCAATCTGAAACCAATGTGTCAGCAGGGCTATGCTACCACTGAGGTCTCTAGGGGAGAATTATTCCTTGCTTCTTCCAGCTTCTAGTGGCTCCTCCACTCCTTGACTTGTGCCCACGTCGATTCAATCTCTGCCCATGAGTTCACCTACTCCTCTTTGTGTGTCTTCTCCTCTGTGTCCTTCTCTAAAAACCCCCCTGCTTTTCTCTTATAGGGATACATGTGATTGCATTTAAGTCCCATCCAGATCAGCTCCTGCTCTCTAGATCCTTAATCAGTTTCTTTATTATACAAGTTAATATTCACAGGTTGAGGAATAAAGACATGGATATATTTTGTGTGAGTCACCATTTAGCTCACCATTGTCCACCCTCAATGGCCCCTTTACTTTTTCCATTTTCTTCCTTTGGAAATAGGAATATTTTGTAACTGTTATATTAAGTCTGTCTCATTACTGTACTTTGAAAACAACTTGTTTTCTAGCTTCACAGGTCTACAAATGGAGACAACGTCCCAAGATGGATCATGCTTAGAGTCTCACTTATACCTTATTTACATAATTAGATGGTAAGATTTGGGACTTTTTAAGCAATGATGTTTACATGAGATTTTTGGATTTAGAACTGGTGCTGTAATGGTTTCAGGCTTTGAGGGATATATTTTGCATATAGGATGAACATAATTTTTGAAGGTCCAAAGAGTGGAATGTAGAGTACTAAATGCTGTCCTTCAAAAAGATATGTTCACATCTTACTCCCCAGAATCTGTGAATCATATCTTATATGGCAGAAGGTGTGATTAAGGATCTTGAGAGAAAGAACTTATATTAGATTATCCAGGTGAACATGAAATACAATCACATGTATATTTATGTAAGAAAGGCAGAGGGATTTTGAGATAGGTATGCAGAGGATAAACCACACAAAGAAGTAGCAGTAATATAATCACGATGGCAGAGACTGGGTTATGAAGCTATAGACCAAGGAACACCAAAGACTATCAATTGCCAACAGAAGCTGAAAAAGTCATGAAGCAGATTATCCCCTGAAACCTTCACAGGGAATACATCCATGTCAGCAACTTGCTTTCAAACTTCTGGTCTCCAGAACTGTGGGAGAACACACTTATGGTTTTTGTTTTGTTTTGTTTTGTTTTTTGTCTATTTCATTGTGATGAGAACATTTAACAAGAGATATACCTTCCTAAACATTTTTAACATACAGTACATTACTGTTGACACTAGGCACAAAATTTTACAAAAGGTTACTAGAGTTTATCCATTTTGCTTGACTGAAACTTCATGATGGTTGATTAGTAACACTCCACTTCCACCTTGCTCCAAACTCTGGTAACCACTATTGCACTCTTTGATTTTATTAATTTGGCTATTTTAAATACCTCATATAGTTGAAATTATGCAGTATGTGTCTTTATGTGACCAGCTTGTTTTACTTAGCATAATGTCCTCAAAGTTTATCCATACTGCAGAATTTCCTCCCTTTATAGGGCTGAATAGTAGTCCATAATATGTATATACTATATTTTCTTTATTAATTAGTCAGTCAATGGCATTCGGGTTGTTTCCACACCTGAGTGAGGTATTGTAAATAGTGCTGCAAAGAACCTAAGAGTGCTAGTATCTATTGGATAAATAGCCAGAAGTAAGCTTGCTTAGTCATACAGTAGTTCTATGTTTAAGTTTTTGAGGAACCTCCATAATGTTTCCAAATTTACTGTCCCATTTTTCATTTCCACCAACAGAGTGCAGGGGTTCCAATTTCTCCACATCCTTGCCAACACTTGCCTTAAAAAATAATAATAATAATAGCTTTGTGCAGTGGCAGTATCGTAGCCAGAGAGGTTTATCCAGCAATGATTATTGCTAATTGTAAACTTTTCCCAATACCCTGCCGTGACAACTTGAAATGTAGTCAGCATTGGCAATTTTTGAGTCTCTATGGAGACTGAATAAAAATAAATAAAATAATAACCATTCTAATAGGTGATGTCGTCTTTGGGAAAATGTCATTCAACTCCTTAGAACATTTTTAAATTAAGTGTTTACGGGTTTTTTGGGGTTTTTTGCTATTAAGTTATATTAATACCCTACGTATTTCGGGTATTAAACACTTAAATCATTTTCAAACATTTTCTCCCATTCCATAAGTTGCCTTTTCATTCTCTGGATTGTTTCCATTGCTGTGCAAATCTGATGTAGTCCTACATATTTCTTTTTGTTTTTGTTGCCTGTACTTGAGGTGCCATGTACATAAAATCATTGTCATGACCAATATTATGAATATTTCCACCTGTGTTTTCTTCTTGTTGTTTTAAACTTTCAGGTATTATCTTTAAGTATTTTGTCCTTTTTGAGCTGATTCTTATTTACGGTATAAGATAAGGATCCAATTTTATTACCTTGTATGTGGATATTGTTTTCCCAAAACCATTTACTCATAAAACTATCATTTTCCTACTGTATTTTCTAGGCACTTTTGTCAAAAATTAGTTGACCTTATAGACATACTTCATTTTATTGTACTCCATTGTACTTGCAGATACTGTGGTTTTTTACAAATGAAACTCTGTGGCAACCTTGTTTCCAGCAAGCCTATTGGCATCATTTTTCCTATAGCATGTGCTCACTTCCTGTCTCTTTGTCACATTTTAACAATTTTTCAAACTTCATTATTATTATATCTACTATGGTCATCTGTAATCAGTGATCTTTGATGTTATCACTATAGTTGTTTTGGAGCATTATGATCTATGCCCATGCAAGACAGTGAAGTTAATCAATCAATATAGTGATTATTCTGACTGTTCCATGGACTGGCCATTCCGCTGTCTGTCTGTCTCTTTCTCTCTCTCTCTCTTCCCTCTCCCCCACCCCCCCGGCTCCTCACATTTTCTTATTCCCTGAGACACAACAATATTGAAATTAGGCCAATTAATAATGATATGATTACCTCTAAGTATTCAAATGAAAGGAAGATTCGCATATCTCTCACCTATATACAAAAGCTAGAGATGATAAAGCTTAGTGAGGAAGGCATGTCATCTACAAACAGGGACAATTTTGCTTCTTTCTTTCTAATTTGCAAGCCTTACTCTTACCTGATTGCTCTGGTTATGCCTTCTAGTACTATACATATAGAAGTAGCAAGAGGAGGCATTCTTGCCTTTTTCCTGATCTTAGAAGAAAATCTTTCAACTTTCTCCCATTAAGTATGATGTTAGCTGTGTGTCTGTTATATATGGCTGTTAAGATGTTAATTTCCATCTATTATTAGTGTGTTGAGAGTTTTTATCATAAATATTTGTTGAGATTTGTCAAACATTTTATCTTCACCTATTTAGATGATCATGTGATTTTTATGTTTTATTATTAATATAATTTATCATATTAATTGATTTTTACGTGTTGAACCATCTTTGAATCCCAGAGATAAAAAACTTCTTGGTCACGGTATATGATCTTTCTGAAAGCCTGTTGAATTCAGTTTGCTACACAGTACTTTGCTCTGATCTTTATGATTCCCTTCCTTCTGCCAACTTTCAACCCTATAGCTTGCTATTCAGTTGAGAAATTTTTCTTGTATATTTATCATGGTTATTCACTTGCAGTTTTCTTTCTTCCTGTGACTTTGTCTGACTTTTGTATCAGGGTGACGCTGATGAAACAAACTTGGAAATATTTTCTTCCCTTCAATATTTTGGAGGACTTGAGAAATGCTGTTATTAAGTTTTCTTGAAATGCTTAGTATAACTAAACAGTGAAGCTATTAGGTCCACAGCTTTTCTTTGGAAGTTTTTTATTACTGATAACTACTCCATACTAGTTATGTCTATTCAGATCATGTCTTTATTACTTAGTCTTTTAAGTTGTATGTTGCTAAAAATTTATCCATTTATTCTAAGTTATCCAGTTTGTTAGCATATACTAATATCCTATAATTGTTCATAGATTTTATGATTTTTATTTTTGTGGTATCAGTTGTAGTGTTCCTTTTTTATTTTATTTTACCCTTTTTTGAGTCTAAGAGTATGTCAGTTTTATCTTTTCAGAATGTCAACTCTTAGCTTTGCTGTTTTCTATTATTTTTCTATTTCAGTCATTTCTACTGTAATTTTTGTTATTTTCTTTTTCCTGCTAACTATAGGTTTAGCTTGGCTTTTATTGGTCTATTTCTTAAGGTGTAAAGTTGAGTTCTTCATTTAAGATATTTCTCGATTTTTAATGTAGGCGTTCATTGCTATGAACATCTCTTAGTATTGCTATGCTGCATCCCATAAATTCTGTATATTTTTTTTTCATTTGTCTCAAGGTATTTTCTAATTTAAAGTTCTTCTTTAACCCAATGATTATTTAAGAGTGTGTTCTTTAATTTCCACTTGTGTAAATTTTCTAGTTTTCTTTTAGTTACTGCTTTTGAATTCTGTTGAAGGCCTTCTCTGCATCTATTGAGATGATCATGTGGTTTTTGTCTTTGGCTCTGTTTATGTGGTGGATTACATTTATAGACTTGCATATGTTGAACCTCACTTGCATCCCCAGGATGAAGCCTACTTGATCGTGATGGATAAGCTCTTTGATGCGCTGTTGCAATCGATTTGCCAGTATTTTATTGAAGATTTTTACATCTGTGTTCATCATGGATATTGGCCTGAAGTTTTCTTTTTTGTTGAGTCTCTGCCACGTTTTGGTACTGGGATGATGCTGGTCTCATAAAATGATTTGGGAAGGATTCAGTCTTTTTGGATTGTTTGGAATAGTTTCTGGAGTGGTACCAGCTACTCTTTCTATGTCTGGTATAATTCGGCTGTGAATCCGTCTGGATCTGGGATTAACTGCTGCCTCAACTTCAGCCCTTGTTATTGGTCTATTCAGGGTTTCAACTTCTTCCTGGTTTAGGCTTGGGAGGGTGCAAGGGTCCAGGAACTTATCCATTTCTTCCAGGTTTACTGGTTTATGTGCATAGAGTTGTTTGTAGTAATCTCTGATGGTGGTTCATATTTCTGTGGAATTGGTGGTGACACTCCCTTTATCAATTTTATTGCATCTATTTGATTCTTCTTTTTTTTTTTTAATCTGGCTAGAAGTCTATTTTGTTGATCTTTTCAAAAAACCAGCTCCTGCACGTATTGATTTTATTGAAGGGCTCTTTGTGTCTCTATCTCCTTCAGTTCTGCTCTGATCTTAGTTATTTCTTGTCTTCTGCTAGCTTTTGAGTTTTTTGGATCTTGCTCCTCTCTCAATAAAATAGGTATCAAAGGAACGTATGTCAAAATAATAAAAGTTATTTACGACAAACACACAGCCAATAACATAATGAATGGGCAAAAACTGGAAGCATTCCCTTCGAAATCTGGCACTAGACAAGGATGCCCTCTCTCACCACTCCTATTCAATATAGTATTGGAAGTTCTAGCCAGAGCAATCAGGCAAGAAAAAGAAATAAAGGGTATTCAATTAGGCAAGGAGGAAGTCAAATTGTCTCTATTTGCAGACAACATGATTGTATATTTAGAAGACCCCATCGTCTTAGCCAAAATCTCCTCAAGCTGATAAGTAACTTCAGCAAAGTCTCAGGATACAAAATCGATGTGTGGAAATCACAAGCATTCCTATACACCAATAACATAACAGACTTAAAGAGAGCCAAATCAAGAGCAAACTGCCATTCACAATTGCTACAAAGAGAATAAAATACCTAGGAATACAACTAACAAGGAACATAAAGGACCTCTTCAATGAGAACTATAAACCACTGCTGAAGGAAATAAGAGATGTCAAAACAGATGAAAAAATATTCCATGCTCATGGTTAGGAAGAATCAATATTGTGGAAATGGCCATAGAGCCCAAAGTAATTTACAGATTCAATGCTATCCCCATTAAGCCACCTAAGATCCTCTTCACAGAACTGGAAAAAAACACCTTAAACTTCATATGGAACCAAAAGAGCCTGCATAGCCAAGACAATCCTAAGCAAAAGAACAAAGCTGGAGGCATCATGCTACCTGACTTCAAACTATCCCGCAAGGCTACAGTAATCAAAACAGCTTGATACTGGTACCAAAACAGAGTGATAGACCAATGGAACAGAACAGAGGCCTTGGAAACACCACCACACATCTACAACCATCTGATCTTTGGCAAACCCAACAAAAACAAGCAATAGGGAGAGGATTCCCTGTTTAATAAATGGTGTTGGAAAAACTGGCTAGCCATGTGCAGAAAGCAGAAACTGGGCCCCTTCCTGACACCTTACACTAAAATTAACTCCAAATGGATTAAAGACTTAAACATAAGACCTAACACCATAAAAACCCTAGGAAAAAGCCTAGACAATACCATTCAGGACATAGGCATAGGCAAGGACTTCATGACTAAAACACCAAAAGAATTGGCAACAAAAGCCAAAATAGACAAATGGGATCTAATTAAACTCCAGAGCTTCAGTACAGCAAAAGAAACAATCATTAGAGTGAACCAGCTACCAACAGAATGGGAAAAAACTTTTGCAATCTACTTACCTGACAAATGGCTAATATGCAGAATGTACAAAGAAGTAAAGCAGATTTACAAGAAAAAGGCAAACAATCCCATTCAAAAATGGGTGAATAATATGAACAGATACTTTTCAAAAGAAGACATTTATGAGGCCAACAAACATATAAAAAATGCCCTTCATTACGGGTCATTAGAGAAATGCAAATCAAAACCACATTGAGATACCATCTCATACCAGTTATGTGATAATTTAAAAACCTGGAGACAACAGATGCTGGAAAGAATGTGGAGAAATAGGAACACTTTTACACTGTTGGTGGGAGTGTAAATTAGTTCGACCTTTGTGAAAGACAGTGTGGCAATTCCAAAAGGACCTAGAAAGAGAAATTCCATTTGATCCAGCAATCCCATTAATGGGTACATATCCAAAGGATTACAAATAGTTCTA